TAAGTATTACTTTTGATAAACCAAAAATTCCTAAATTACTAAGATCTAGCTCTCAAAGATCTTTTAAATCTTATATTGATCCAGTCGATTCTCATAGATTTTCGACATCTTCGATTCCTGAAATAGATCTGACAAATAGAATAAATCAAGTAAAAATTGATCCATATAATATTGTTCGGTCTGCTGATAGTAAGACGTTTGATAAGGATATGCCTTCACCTTCTGAAATGGGTTATCATGGCGAATACTGAAAAATTAGATTTTAGTCCAGGATCTAATATTAGACATATAATAAGACAAGAATTTCAATCTGAAAAGTGGAAACTTTTCGAGAATGGTTCTTTTCTACTTATGATATTGAAAATCAAAAACTTATACAAAAGGAATTTTATGAATATGCTTCTTTTCACAATCAAATAATATATTTTGTTCCGTGGTTTATAATCACTTATCTTGATAAATATATTTTCCTCCTTGAAAGAGAATATCATCTTGCAGATGGAAAAATTACAAAAGGAATTTACCCTCCCCAAAAAGAATTTGTTTTAACAAATGCAACTCATATAACTTTTTCTGCCTTTCAAAAATTGGTTGAAAGTGAAGTTTTACCTTCTACTGTTTCTTTAGTAAATAAATTTATTCAGCAAAATAATTATACAAATATGTAAAAATTTTAGGAGAACAAATTAATTCTTTACATGATAAGGTTGACAAATTATTTTCTCTTATAAACAATATTCAACAAACAGTTAAACCAGTTTTGATTGAAAACAAAAATAAGGATATTAAAATACAAAATTTTATACAACCTCCTCCTATAGTAAAAGATTATAATCTTGAATCTCCACATGTATTAGAAAAATTATTAGAAGAAAAATTTAAAAACCTAAAATTATCCACTTTAGAATTTTCTGAGAATATACAGAAAGATTTTGATAAAACTCTACGAGATGAAATAAATCGTCTTTCTAATAAATCTAGACATAATAAATTTGCTAATAAACCATATATGAATCATTATTATTACCTCGACCTTCTCCACAAGATCTTCTTTATGAAGAACATCAAGAAACTACTAATAGTTATAGTAGTCGTTCATTTATGAATGGAATTGTGACGCATTTACCGATAGGCAATTAACTAATATGGTGCATAGGATGTTAATGTACTCCTCGATTGCAAAAGCAAATGGTAATACAGATCAGGCAATCGCAAAAATGATTGTTTGTGGTTTTACTGGTGTCCTTAAAGGATGGTGGGATAATTATTTAACTGAAAATGATAGACAAAAAATTTATAATACAGTAAAAATTGAGAATGAAGGAACATCTACACCCATTATGATAGAAGATGCAGTATATACTTTGATAGCATCTATATTAGAACATTTTTCTGGAAAATTTACTAATAATCAAGAAAATATTCGAACATTGTTGAATAATTTTAAGTGTAAAACACTTCTTTTAGATGGTATAAAGATTCATTCTTATCAAGAGTCATGGAATTACCAGAAAGTAATAGCTCTTATTGGAAAGCTAAATTTATAGATGGCTTACCAACTCTGTTTGCTGAACGAATAAGAAAAGTTCTTAGGAAAGATTTTCCTTACATTCCTTATGATGATTATACTTATGGTCATCTAATAGGTGTTTGCACACAAGAAGGATTAGCCTTATGTAATGAAATCAAGTTAAATCAACAAATTAAAAGACAACAATTATCAGAACGAAGACAATTAGGTCAGTTACGTGATCAATTTGCTATGGATATTGGGCCGAAAATAGGGATAAAAGAATGAAGAAAAATAAAATTCCTTATATACCTAAAGGAAAACGACGACGTAAAAGAACAAAAGAACAAAGAGAATTTAGAAAAATTAATAGAAAAATAAAAGAGACATAAAATGTTTCAAATGTGGTCAAAAGGGTCATATTGCCCTAATTGTAAAAAAATTAATAGAATTAGATTATTAGAAATAGATGAACAACTTAAAGAACAAATATGCAAAGTAATAGAAGAATCGAATCGAGTCAAATGAAGAAACGATAGCTCGAAAATAATATGTTTGAAAATGATGAATATTCATCTGGTTCTTCGGATGAATGTCTTCCATGTCAAAATAATAATAATAATGATTGTTGTAAGGATAATAGTCTTTACAATATTATATCTCAATTTCAAGATTTACAATTTAACATGTTAACAACTGATAATGTTTTAGAATTACTAAAACAAATACCAGATCATGATATTCGTGATAAAATAATTAAAATGATAGATGTGTCTAATAAAAAAGAAAAGGATGTTAATAAAAATGATATAGTTTTCAATAATAATCCTTATTCAATGCAGGAAATAGAAAAAAGAATGAAAAAATTACTAAATAAAGAAGAATCATCTTCTTCAGTTATAACTATTTCAGACTTACAAATAGAAGTTCATAATATAAAGAATGAAATAAAATATTTGAAACAAAATAACGAATTATTAGAAAAAAGGATTAAAACAATTGAGTATTCACAATCAGGTGAAACCTCTATAGTTGATCCACAAACTATTCAAAATTTAGCTAAAAATATATCTGAAGATCATAATTATGAATTCCTAAAAATAATACAAATAATTACATCTCAAAGATGGTATATAAAATTAACTTTAATGATAGATAGACAATTTGTCTTAAACACTGTTGCAATGATTGATAGTGGTGCTGATTTATCTTGTGTTCAAGAAGGGTTAATACCCACGCAATATTTTGAAAAAACCTCGCATGCATTAAAATCCGCATCTAATCATACATTAGATATCTCATATAAATTGCCTAATGCTTTTGTTTGTCAAGATAATATTTGTCTTCCACAAACATTTTTATTAGTAAGAAATATGCCAGGAGTGCCTATTATATTAGGACTTCCATTTTTATGTATGTTATATCCACTTAAAGAAGTTAATTTTCAAGGTTTTACAGAACCTATAAAGATAAATCAATAAATTTCAGGTTGTCTCGGACCCTATAACAAGGTCTATTAGGTCATTAATAGAAGCTAAAGAAAAACAATTATTTTTCATTAAAAATGAAATTATGAATTTATCAATACCAATTATTGAGTAATACTAAATTACAAGAAAAATAAAACATATTACAATACAATTTCAAGAATCGGTATGTCTTTGATCACCCAAATGCTTTTGAATAGAAAGAAACATTTAGTTAATCTTCCTTATGAAGATAATTTTAATGAAAAGGATATTCCTACTAAGGCAAGACCATGTCAAATGAATTCGTATATATGAATTTATGTAAAGAAGAATTACATTCTTTACTTCAAAAGGGTTTAATAAAACCTTCACAATCTCCTGGTCATGTATCGCATTTTATGTTAATAATGCAATTGAAAAGAACGTGGCGTCCCAAGATTAGTAATAAACTATAAGCCACTTAATAAAGTTTTAAAATGGATAAGATATCCTATACCTAATAAAAAGGATTTGTTATCAAAATTATATAATGCCAACATATTTTCTAAATTTGATTTAAAATCTGGATATTGGCAAATTCAAATAAATCCTGAGCATACTTATAGAACTGCTTTTAATGTACCTATAGGACAATTTGAATGGAATGTGATGCCATTCGGATTAAAAAATGCTCCTTCTGAATTTCAGAAAATCATGAATGATATATTTATTCATTATATGGATTTTATAATTGTTTACATTGATGATATCTTAGTATTCTATGATAATATTGAACAACATTTTAAACATCTTAATATATTAAAGGATGTTATTTTACGAAATGGCTTAGTAATATCTAAACCAAAGATGCTTTTGTTTCAACATAATATAAGATTTCTTGGTCATCAAATAAGTCAAGGGAAAATAACCCTATTCAACGATCAATTGAATTTTCTTCTAAATTTCCGATGTTTTTCTCGAGAAAATTCAACTCCGAGAGATTTCTAGGAAGTTTGAATTATATTTCACCATACTATAAGAATTTACGAAAGATTTAGCAATTCTATATGATTTGCTTAAAAATCAATTAAATTTGATTGACAGAAAAGCATACTCAATTGGTTAGGCAAATAAAAGAAAAGGTAAAAACTCTACCATGTTTAACATTAGCAAATCCAAATTGGAAAAAGATAATAGAAACTGATGCTAGTAGCATAGGATTCGGTGGAATCTTGAAACAGATTAACCCTCATGATAATAATGAATATCTTATTAGATATCATTCTGGTAAATGGACAGAACCTCAAAAGAAATATGCAACTGTTGCACAAGAATTTCTTGCTATTGTAAAATGTGTATTAAAATTCCAAGATGATTTATTTAATCAGTCGTTTGTCATTCATACTAATGCACTTATTGTTGAGTTTTCCGACTGAACCCGGAATCGGAACCAATCTCAAATCATCGTATTTTAATTAAAAGAGAAGAAGGAGATAGAGCTTCCATGTATAATTTATGTAAACAAAAGCCAAATGTTTGATTCAGACAAAGGATTTACTCAGACATTGTCTGAGTACTTCAAACTATAAATTAAAACAAACTTAAAGGAAAAAATTACCTTTAAAAGCTTCTTCTATTCTTCAAACTTGCAGGATATATTTACTGAATGATTTCTTTACAAGGGAGAGAGAGAATTTCGAGAGAAAGGAAGAAGAAAAGAGAGAATACTTGGAGAGAATGATCGGAGAGAATACTTGGAGTATCAGAGCGGTTATGTATTTTTTTATGTTTACAAAAAAAAAATATGCACACTACGGAAATGTAAAATTAACAACGAAGGCTAAGGGCTATATAAACGTTTAGTATCCTTTTGATTTTCCTCTTAAACATACAACTAACATTTTTAGATTCTTGAACCTTTTATACACGTTTGACACAATTTTAAAAATAATTTTTGTAATATCATCCAGTTCATAATTTTAATAAATGATTTTCACATAAAAAGACATTAAGACAAATAGCACCATTAAGGCAATGAACAACGTAGTTTTTCTTCTTGTTTGTTTATTAATTTTGGAACGAAAGAAGCCAAAAGAAAGGGAAAAAAAAAATACATATATTTCATTTCATTTACTTTATTCCTTTTTTTTTTTTTAATTATTAGTATTTCCTTACTTCCACACGTATCAAACCAAAAAACGAGTCCTGAAAAGTACTGGAAGAAGGAACCCAAACTTCGTCATTAAGATTGAAATCGTCGATAATTATCGAATGACATAATCAATCTGTTCCTATATCCTACAACTATAAAAACCTAAAAAAAAAAGCTCAGGAGAAAAGATGAAGAGAATCTTAATCTATTTCTTAATCGCAGCAGTATCATTTTCGTGCTTTTCCTCTATTTCAATGGCTGAATCCCAAAACCCATCATCCTCTGAAGCTAAAGTTCACATCGTTTATACGGAGAGACCTCAGGATCAGGAACCCGAAGCTTACCATGTCCAGACCCTTTCCAATGTTCTGGGCAGGTCTGTTTTTGTTTATTTATCCGATTACGGCTTAATTCTGAATAGATGATGATATTTATTATGGTTGATTGATTGAATTTGATTTTTCCCTCTTTAAACCGTTAGGGTTTTGCATTTTTTTAGTTTTCGGCATATGGGTTTTGATTATTATTATCCTATCTTTTTGTGCGATTGATACATTTGGAGAACAGTGAGGAGGCTGCAAAAGCTGCGCTGATTTACAGTTACAAGAATGCCGCCAGTGGATTCTCTGCTAAGCTGACTGATGAACAAGTTGCTGAGATTTCAAGTGAGGATCTTGTTTTACTTGATTTTATATTTTCTGTCTGTTTGATTATGATGAGTTTCTTTTGTTGAATTTTGGATTATTGCAAAAAATCGATGTCTGTGTTGTGGTGGTTCTGTTTTGGAGAGTATTGGTTTGATTCTGTTTTATAGATCATTTACATTTGTTTTGTTCATTGGGCTTGGTTCTTTGATGATTATCTGTTTTTAAACCAATAAAGCAATTGGGGTATGAGATAGATGGTTGAAGTGTTGGTGAATATGCAATTTGTTTGCATTAGAGTAGGGATTCCTGTTTGTCTAACCGGTTGTTGCGTCATTAGTAATCTTCATTGGGATTTTCCTGTTTTTCGTGTAATCTAGGCACATTTCTTTCTTGTTAGCTACTTGTACATCTATCTGGCTTCCTTTAGTCACCCATCCAGAAGAAAGATTTCTTGCAGCACTTACATCTTCGTTGTTTCTTATCAGAGATACTCTTTCCATTGAGGAACAATTCTATTCATTTGGGTTATGTGGTCGTAACTACTATCATCACTTAACTAGTGTGTCCATGAAAATATGGTCCTACTCTGTTATCTGGAGAACTTTTATTTCTTGAAATTTTACCTCAGGAGAATTGTGAAGTTCTGGAGAATCTTTTTATCTCTTTAATTAACTGGGGCTGACTCTCTCATTAGATTTCTGGCAGAACATTATTGGATACAATCAAGTCTATTATGTTGCCGGTTGATCATTTTCCTTTGTTCTTGATTAATAGTTTGTGTCTTTTTGTGCTGCTCTATTCTTTTTTACGACCATCTATTCGGTGCATCTTTTATGTAGGTCATTACATACAATGCATGCTAAAACAACGAGTAAAAGAATTTTTAACGTATACTCGTATGGATCTGTTTTATGGACACTGTTGAGCTTTGGATTAAAAATTTTCCTGGAAGTTATTGAATTCCTTCTACATGTCACCTCACCTTCACACCAAAGTGCGTCTTTTTACGGCTGCATTCTGTGTGCTTGCTATCTCTTTATCTTGTTTCATCTTTTCAGCCATCTGGATTTCAGCTTGACATACCTACTTGGCTGGTAGCCAATTATCTCAATGAGTCTTTGTCTTGGTTTCTTTCCCACTTTTCATGTATGTCTTGTCTTGCAACATGGACAAACTCACTGGAAGTTTGTTTTATTGGCAAATAGTGTTCGAACTTGTAAGCTAAGAAGCTCTGTTTCAAATGAGAATGATCTCGGTCTAAACTCGTCATTTGCATAGTGTTAATGCTTGTTGAACTGTAACATAGATTGGTGCGAGCGAAGTAGGAAATTAGTTCCATTTTTTTTGTACCTGCTATTGTTCTGTTCTGCGCTGGTCTGGTGACTGATTTGCTTTGAGGATTTTTTGCTTTGGTTGGTGTTACTCAAAAGGCTGATTTGTTCCATAATTTGACAGAACAACCTGGGGTTCTTCAAGTCGTCCCAAGCCGAACACTCCAGCTTCATTCTGGACCTGGGAGGATGAACGTTTGAAGTCTTTCATGTGTAGCATTCTCATGTGTTTTACTTTCGTGGCTCATGTGAACCGATAACTTGACAGTTAAACTTTATGTTGGTTGTGTACATAAACTTTGATGAATTGGTCTTATATACCAATGAATGTTAGAAGCTCGCCCTCTTTGCATAGCTGTAATAAAGAGTGATATTTCAGACTATGAGAAGGTCATATTATGAATAGTTTCAATAAAGAGATGATTTTCTGGAGTGTAAATGAAGCTTACATTGTGATCTACTGAACCAACCGTCTTACTTCCTCCCTCTCGTAATGATTGTCTACAGATGAGACTGCCATTTAGGATGGAGATTTTACACCTTTGCTGTTGTATCAGCATCCTTTTTTTTCTCTCTCGGTTTCAAACGTCTAAAATTTAGTTGGTTAAAAGTTTTCTCAGCTCAAAAGAATACTCTTTGAAAAAATGCCGTTAGGGACGTCCAGTGCTCCTTTTAAATGCAATTCTTTTAGTATTTCATTCAAGAATAATCTTCAATGATACATTTGAAGGGACGTTGAAGAGACGCAGTGAACTTTGAATTGGTGTTTGCAAACGTAGTCAAATACTCTTTTGTAATAGCTACTAGTAAAATTGTCTTTTCAAACATTATAGATTTGATGAAAGTTCAACCTTCCACACAAGGTAATCACTAATTTTGGGTAATGAGCTTATATTGGTTTCCAATACATCATCTATATTGCAAGTATCTATTTTTATTTAGACTTTAGTTAGGACGTAGGCAGCATGCATCACTATTTTTTAATTGCATTTCATATATATGATACAAAACTGTTACTACTTCCGTCCCACAAAAATATTACACATTGAGTTTTCAAATTTATACTAAAAATAGTACAAAATTTAAAATTCAATGTGGATTATTTTTGTGGGACGGAAAGAGTACTTCATATAAAATTTACCATGGAAAAACTAACTATTGAAAAATAAATAAATAAATTATCAGTTGAATTGAATAGACATGTTTGGCATGTTCATTGAACAAGTAAACATTCTCATCTGTCTATGACTCACTTTGTGCTGGATTGATTCCACTTCTTGAATATTAAAATCATCATATCGACTTTCAATTTCTTTTCTTTTTTCCTTTTTATTAGTAAAATACTAGGTGACACCACTACTAGCATTTTTATATATGTGCTTATATTATTTGCTGTCAGCCATTCATATTTCAAAGGGGGAAAAAGAAATGTGCCTTCCTATCATTTTCTATATCTACAACATGGCAATCAAAAGTCAAAAGCCACCACAATACCCGCCAATTGCTGTGCCCAAACAACAAGAATTAGTTACATATATTCTCCATCCAATCTTAAATAATATTCAAAAAAGAAAAAAGAATACATTAATCTTCAACAATTGGAAAGAGGAAGGATAGTTGAAGAGGATGATCATAGAGATTCATTCATTCACAAACTCAGTACTATAAAGAAAGATTGAAGAGAAGATCATATTTCTTCAAGAAATTGAGAGAGTACATAAAAATAAAGAGATCCCATCTGAGATCATTTACATTTATCCATGAAGAAACCATCTTCAGGTTCATCCTCATCAAAGCCAGCTACAAGTGTTCTTCCTTATCAAACACCAAGGCTAAGAGATCAGTATAATCTTGGCAAGAAATTAGGCCAGGGACAATTTGGGACAACTTACCAATGCACAGAGAAGGCAACAGGGATTGAATATGCCTGCAAATCGATCCCGAAAAGGAAGCTTTTGTGTAAAGAAGACTATGATGATGTTTGGAGGGAGATTCAGATTATGCATCATTTGTCAGAGCATCCTCATGTTGTGAGGATCAAAGGGACCTATGAAGACAACCTGTTCGTTCACATTGTCATGGAGTTGTGTCATGGCGGCGAGCTTTTCGACAGGATTGTTCAAAAGGGTCATTACAGTGAGAAGAAAGCAGCTCAGTTGATGAAGACAATCATTAGTGTGGTGGAGGCTTGTCATTCTCTTGGTGTCATGCATAGGGATCTGAAGCCTGAGAATTTCTTGTTTGATACCACAGATGAGGATGCCAAGCTTAAGGCCACGGATTTCGGTTTATCTGTTTTCTACAAACCAGGTTTGTTACATCTTCGAAAAAGGCTCGATTTTCAATTGATGGTTGCTGTTAATATCTGATCATTTGATTGAACTGTGTTGATTCCTTTTACTATTCTTTTTTATTATTGGTTCCTGACTTGATGTTTCCCTTCCTAGCATATATTAGATTGACCAATCAGCCTTATCTGACCTACTAATTTTCATACTTTCTTTCTTTGGTCTTTCCTTTAAATGTGACCTGTTCTTCTTTACTTTGTAAAAGTATTTACCATTACAACAGTCATTTCAAGTAGAAAAGTAGTTTTGGTGGATTATAAGAAGTTCTGTGAATTTTATTAATGTGGTTATGCAAATGAATACAGACTGTTGAATGATACTAGATAGCACTGTGTGTAAGAAAGTGAATATGAAGCAAAATTTCTGTATGGGAAAGAAGATAAAGTTCGCTGACATCCTACTCAGTTTAACTGAAGTAGTAATGCGAGGTTTGCAATGTTAGAAGCTATCTCCTGTCATCCAAGTTGTTAGCTCATATTCCAGGATAGTTGTCATCAAATGGCCTCACTGACGAGTAAGCTTGATGGCACAATAATTAAGAAATTGGTTGTTTATCCTCATAAAATTTGGTTGATCTAAAGTGCAAGAGAAGAAAATGAAAATTTCCACAAAAAAAAAAAACTATGATGAGGTTCAGTCTTACTAGAACTAGTCTTTTCTAAAAGATTATGTTTTAAAGCATGTGATTATTGAATGTTTTCTATCCTTCAAGGCTTTGAGCTTCTACATAATGATCTCTTTCAAGTCCCTCATGTGATTAGTTTTGACTTGATACCAATGATACTGTCTTCAAATTCAGGGCAGTATCTTTCTGACGTTGTTGGAAGTCCATATTATGTTGCTCCTGAAGTTCTGCACAAGTACTATGGCCCTGAAGCTGATGTCTGGAGTGCTGGTGTTATTTTATACATTCTATTGTCGGGTGTTCCACCTTTTTGGGCAGGTAGATTTCTTTCTCGTTGACTTCAATTCAACCATCCAATGCTAGCTTTGTCAATGCTATGGAGAAATCTCTTAATTCCTACGACCTTTTGGCATTAATTTTCTGATTTGTTAGAGCTATGAACAAATCATTAGTTTTCTGATTTCATCTTTCTAATTGCAGAAACTGACAATGGTATTTTCAAGCAAATATTAAAAGGAAAGTTAGATTTTGTATCTGATCCCTGGCCTCAGATTTCAGATAGTGGAAAAGACTTGATACAGAAAATGTTATGCAGGGATCCGAGAAGCCGAATAACTGCTCATGAAGTCTTATGTAAGTTTTTAGGAAAAACATTTTTGTGGTGTTCGATACAGTGTCACTCCTTAACATCAGAGAACTGTTTTGTTTTAAAACAGGTCATCCTTGGATAGTTGATGACAATGTTGCACCAGACAAACCTTTGGGTTCGGCAGTTTTGTCCCGTTTGAAGCAATTTTCTGCTATGAATAAACTTAAGAAGATGGCTCTCCGGGTAAAACTTCTCTCTGTTTGTCAATCCTTCGTACATTCTTTGAAGAAGGCAATTATAAGTTTTTGCTTCAGGATTACAATCCGTTTTAAAGATAGTTTTACATGGTCAATTGATCAAGGCTTTTTTAGGCCAAGCCAAAACATTCATGAAATGGAATACTCATTCTATGACTGCATTGGGGATAAATTATTCAAATAAACCTCGCCTAGACTCGGAAAAAATGAATTTGAATCATATCTGCTCTTTAATGGTGAAAGTACTGGTTAAGTGCATTCAGTTCTTTCTGCTTTCAGCCAGATATAGATGTCTGTAGATTGTCCTGAAGATGTGGCTATCATCAGTTTTGACCAATTTTTCCACATTGAATAAAGTTGAATGACTGATAAATCAACCTGTTGACTCGAAACATCTTTGATGTCTAAGTTCAAATTTGATAATCAGTTCAGTCACTTGACCTAAGGCCAAAAGTTAAACGTGACTGACAATTTATCATAGGGAAATGAAAAGGAAGAAGTAAGTTAATGTTGGTTGGTACTGCAGAGCATTTGTTTATGCAAAAATACAGGTGAAAAATAATTTTTGTTCAGATTTTGAAACGGTGATTTTGATATTATTCAGCAATATTCCTAGCCTTTTGTGTACGTCTGTGATTAATGAAGAAAAATGTCAAATTCTTAAGTAACCACTGTCGGATAATCTACTTGCAGGTCATTGCAGAGAGACTATCAGAAGAGGAAATTGGTGGTTTAGGCCAGTTGTTCAAGATGATCGATACAGACAACAGTGGAACAATAACTTTAGATGAGCTGAGACAAGGACTGAGAAGAGTAGGCTCTGAACTAACAGAAGCCGAAATTAAAGCTCTAATGGAAGCGGTAAATGAAGCATCTTCATGACATCAGTTCTGAAATTTCAGTATTTTGATGAACGCAATGAATCTTGATACCTATTGAGTTTTGTATCAGGCTGACGTCGATAACAGTGGCACAATTGACTACGGCGAATTCCTTGCTGCTACATTGCACATGAACAAGATGGAGAGGGAGGAAAACTTGCTTGCTGCTTTCACATTCTTCGATAAAGATGGAAGTGGCTACATTACCATGGATGAGCTCCAAGAAGCTTGCAAACACTTTGGATTGGCTGAGGCTCAATTGGATGAGATGATCAAAGAAATTGATACAGACAATGTAAGTCTCTCTATTCAACTGTAATCTGTATCTAAGTCTCAGTGTGTGTTTGCATGTGTCTCTGGAGACTTAAACTAGATTACTTCACTGAAAGTGTCATTATTCGAGAAAGATGAATTTCGACAAGCGGAATGGTTGCCTGATCATGACATCTCTACTTCAATTGACAGGATGGACGGATTGATTATGGCGAATTCGCTACAATGATGAGAAAGGGAAATCCAGGGCTGGCAGCAAGCAGGACCATGAGAGGAAATATCAACCTTAACATTGCAGATGCTTTTGCCGCAGCTAATATCTCCCAAGATTGAGTTGCAACTTCTTTGATTAATTTTTTTTCCCCACCTCCATTTTCTATTCAATTTAGCGCTATTTTACAACAATTTTTGTATGTTCCTTAGATTTTTTTAATTTTTTTTTACTTCTACTGTGAGTCTGTGATGCCTGATAATCATTGTTGCAACAAGGAAGAAAGAATTACATCATACTACTCCCATCTGTCCATAATTATTGTCATATTCTTTGTACAAATATAGTGCGGAAATAAAGTGGGAAGGTCAACTACGGTCAAACAATAAAGGATTTCTTATTTGCAGATTTAGTCCTGTGCTCTTAAGGTATTCCACTTTTTGCGGTCAAAAGTTTTGCCATTTTTCATTCAGGTCCATGATCGTGGGAATTAGTCCCAAAACTATTTAAATCCATTGGCACAAAAAAGAATAGCAAAATCAAGTAATTCAACCCATTCAAGCATGTTAAAATATAAGATTGTAACAATTAACTAGATGCTTGCCCAGGACGAATGCTCCGGGTGTCGTCTGTATTTTTAAATCGATTAAATAAAAAATATCCTTAAAAGAACAGAAAAAACGAAAGAATAAAAAAATGATTGAAAGGACATGAACTGAGTTACTACACATAAATCTATGCTTGGGTTTACAACAGTTAACTTATGCCTAGGTATACATAAATCATAAATCAATATTTATAACTGAAAAAAAAATCAT